CAATTGGGAGAAGCTTAGATCATGACCTCATATGTAAAACGCAAAAGCCGGGGAATCACAGAGGGAGAATCACAGTGACAGCATCGACATCCCAGGCCCAGTCGAACAGACACCGGCTCCATAGTCTCTAATGAGAGTGCTGATAATGTGAGAAGAACAAGACTGGCCCGTCCTCTTGGCATATTCCAAGCTCATATCAGACCCGGGACAAACCCCTCAGAAAAACGACCATATATTCAAATCCCTCGACTCACGACCCATCATTACTCGTAGAAGATAGTCTTGAATTTATGCGTAGCATTGACGACATTCTCGTAGATCTTATAATCTAGAATCACAAAACACACGCAAGTCAGTCTCTATGTCAATTTACCTCGCAGAGGGAAGCATTCAACATACCGCAATCAGCTGGGTCACCCCACTCCGTCGAGCCCAGTACACGGAGTCCGTATCCCTAGACGCAAATCATTAGCATCCAAGCCCAAATCTTCAATATCAAGTCTATATCCCTCCGGGACTAATGCTGAACATACCTGTCCACCCTCTAGATCAGCCACCTTCCCTACAACCTCAACCAGCTTTCCGACTTGCAAGCGCGCATCGGACTTCAGGATCATTGTGACGTCGCCATTGGTGCCGCAGGTGAGTGTGCCGGTACTCCCGTGGAGCGCGGTCACGGTGCCGAGTATGCGAACGGTGTGCGAGCTACCGCCGGAAGGATGGAAGGCGTGGAGGTGGGAGGGGAGGATGCGGGGGGTTTGGAGTGACATTTTTGAATATTGGCAGTTTTCCGACTGAGACTGGGACTTCGGGATTGGATGTGTTGAGGGTGATGTTCGTTGTCTGTGATTATGCTGGAAATCGGCGGGGAATAAGTAAGGTCGATCGACGCGAGGCGCGGAAACGCGTGGTCACGTGGTGATTAAATAGTATGAAATGGCTAAGTGGACCTTTTAAGCCGGATATCTGGCAATACTATGTGAACATGGCTTTAATTAGGGATTAGGTTTCAGGTTGCTGCGAGAGGAAAAGTACCCAGATACAATAAATCAACCGCCGAGTTACGCAGTCAATTCACACTTCTGGAGCTTCTCGATATCATCACGTGGTCAGATATCAATTTCCAGCAAAAGCTTCAGCCGGATACGTCAATTCAACAAGTCCACGCCACACAATACTACGGAGCAGACCTGGCGCAATTCCCTGGGGTTGGGCTACAAGCTAGGCAACGGAGCTCTAAATCTCTCTACATAACCAACACCTACCCTCCTTCCACACTCATCACATCCGACCACAATGCCTCCTCCACTTCCCTCCTCCCACCGGGGAATGACCAAGAACCCTGTTAGGCCTGCTCGCTATCGCCCTGGAAAGGCTATCGCAGAGGAGCCCTCGTCTGAGGAAGAGGAGGAAGAAGAGGAAGATAACGAAGCTGAACGGGAGGCGCGACGAGAACAAGAGCGGCGCAGACGAGCCGAGGCACTGCGCCGAGCAAAAGCGCCCAAAGCAAGCTCATTCCCAGCCTCTGTAGTAGCAGTCCAAAAGGTCGAGGAGGACGATGACGAAGAAGGGTTCGTCACCGAAGAGGAAGAAAATGACAAGCCTGTACCCGCACCCGCGCCGGCGCCGAAAGCAGTACCGCATCCTGCGACCGACGATCTAAAACCTACTGTGGCTACAACTGCCCCGGAGAAGGATGAAGAAGAAGATGAGGAAGAGGAAGAAGAAGAAGAAAGCTCCGAAGAAGAAAGCAGTTCCGAAGACGAAGCACCCCGTCGCATGCTCATCCGGCCAACGTTCATCAAAAAGGATAAGCGCAACACAGCATTACCAGCCGGCCAGAACAAAGCACAAGCCGACGCCGAACGAGCCGCCGAAGCGGAAGCGCAGCGCGCGGCTCAGCGACAAGAAAAAGCAGACCAACTAATCCGCGACCAACTGGAGAAAGAAGCGATAGCGCGCTCAAAGGCGAACCGGGCCTGGGACGACGACGAGCTCGTCGAAGCCGAAGACGAAGAAGCCATAGATGACACAGACGGGCTAGACCCTGAAGCCGAGCGGGCAGCGTGGACACTGCGGGAGCTGAAGCGCGTGCAGCGAGCCCGGGAAGCGATCGAAGCGAGCGAGAAAGAGCGCGAAGAGGTCGAGCGTCGGCGGAACCTTACGGCCGAGGAGCGGGAGCGCGAAGACAGCGAGTTCATCGCGAAGCAGAAGGAGGACCGCGAAGCTACGCGCGGCCAGACGGGCTTTATGCAGCGCTATTTCCACAAGGGTGCTTTCTTCCGTGGGGATCTTGAGGCGGAGGGTCTGGATCGTCGCGAGCTTATGGGGGCTCGCTTTGAGGACGATGTCAATCGTGATACGTTGCCGCAGTACATGCAGGTGCGCGATATGACGAAGCTTGGGAAGAAGGGCCGCACGCGCTACAGGGATCTCAAGTCTGAGGATACGGGGCGGTTTGGGGATGGGTTGGAGAATAGGAGGAGGAGGGATGGGCCTCCTGAGGGTGTTAGGGATGAGCGGTTTATGCCTGATCGTCGCGGTGGTGGTGGTGATGGGGATCGCGGACCGACGGGTGCTAATGCTAGTGTTGTGAGAGCTCGGCGTAGGTCGAGGTCGAGGTCGCGTTCTCCTCGGCGAGAGCGGCGTGATGATAGAGACTCGGGTCGGTTTGAGCGGAGTCGGTCTAGGGAGAGGCGGAAGCGGAGTCTGTCGCCCCATGATGATCGGGAGAAACGTCGGCGGGTGGACAGTTCGTGATCGTTCAGCGGTGAAGCAGACAGCGTTGATATCCGACCTGGATGTTGGAGTTAGGGCGCCCAGTCTATCACAAGGTGCATGGTGGGAGCTACTTCTGATATCTGAATTTCGAGCAACCAATGTGCCAATACTCTTCTGTGTATGTACATATACGTAATATAGCATATCCTCTCCTAGAGGAATTGTATTGCTGGATATCTGCTGGCCGACCCTCAAGGACTTTTGTGTATGATCCATAGCAGATTGCAAGAAATGTTAGGAAATTGCCCAGATCGACCGTCCAGGCTTGTACTTGCATGACTTCGTGAAAGGGAATGCCGGTGCGGGAATCAAAAACCACACCAAGAGTCGCAGACAAAGAGCTGCGTAACCACCCCATAGCATCTCAAACGCCATATATCTACCACGCTAACAAGCACACATTGACCAGCCTGCAGCCTGCCTGCCACGCACACCGGTAACCCGAATTTCAAGCTCATGAATTATTTAACACCCGCCCTCTCGAGCACCTTCTCCCTCTCCATAACCGGATCCCCGAAGCGAACCAAGAACACCGTCCGACTAGGCCAGAGTTCTGTGGGCTGGTTATGCGCCGAGACCTTAGTCTCAAAGCCACAGCCATCACAGACACCCTCGATGATGCCGGCAACGTAAGCAGCGCAGTTGAGCATGCTCATATCGCGGGGCGCGCTGATATATGTGTTGACCATCGGGTCGTTATCGGTGATCATGTATTCGTTGGGAGTGTCCGGCGACACGGAGTGTTCGAGGGCATCTGCGGCGCGGCCGAAGAGGAGACGCCAGAGGGGGCCGTGGATCAGGTGCAGCAGGGTTATGATGCGGAGGGGTCTGTTTGGGGGTGAAGAGGAGGTGGAGGAGCTTGAGAGGGCGGAGGAGGAGGTTGAGGTTGAGCGGTAGAAGAGCAGGTCGAGGAGGCGGAGGCCAAGGGGGTAGCCTTGTTCGTTTAACCTGGATGGAGGGATCGTTAGCTACCGGCCTGTCGGGCGAGTATATGGCGATAATTGGCTCCGGAGAAGGCAGGAAGATTCCAGGTTTGAATAAGGTCTCTTACCGTTTCTCCAGATCTTGGATGCCTGTTACTCTGCGTTGAGCATATGTGACCATCTCCCCGAATAGAAAGGCGAAGCTCGCCCGGCTGAGTTCTGTATTACGACTCCGGTTCAGATGTCGGTCGTAGATGGTCTTGCGATTGGAAGGTACACGTAGCCCAGGGGACTGCTGTGATAGCTGGGCTTGTTGTGTCTGCTGCGTCTGTGGTTTGTCTATCCCTGGGGCTATGCCGCCATTGCTGATGGACTGCATCGTGGCATGTCGAGGTGGTGCCGCCATGGGAATGACGTTGCAATTTGGATCAGAGTCAAGGAATATTGATTTGGGAGCTTGCGGATCTGGTCAAGTTGAGATATCTATGTGAGGGTTTGAGGTATGGGGTCAACAAGTGGATGCGGTACGGCGGAGCACAACTCCCTCGGGTGCAATCCTGCGAGATTTTATTTTTGTGCTGAGAGAAACTACAAGCTTGGCTATAAAATGCTATGAAATGATGTGATTGGAAGATATTAGAAGACAAAACTGCCCTTCATTTGATACTGATATACTAAATGTTCTAACGGCTGAACTTTCGCACCCCCGACAAAGCACATGACTTGGAATATCCTGCATGCAAGCCGAGCGTGCAAAGCAGCAACGAGCGCCTCCAGCAAGAGTGCAACTAGGTATAGAGCCAGAGCCTGGACTGCAAAGCGACGCTATGCATGATAACGAAGATCGAACGTTTTTCTATCAATAATGGATCCTGTTTCTGAGAGACAATTAGCAACCGTCTCGACTGCAAAGTTGAAATGCAAAGAATTCATAGAGCAGCCAAATATTTCTCAGACATCCAAGGAAGATATTCCGCTCAATGCCGCCTTGATTGGGTTCAAGCGACGGCTAGCGTGGAAACTGCGAATGTAGGAAGATTTTCATCATCGAACGGCGCGAGGCCGTTGGCTGGGGGGAATGCAATGCAAGAAAAAAGTGTCGCGGACTTACCGAGTCAGTAGAGAGTATATATGAATACGTTCACATATACTCTTGAAGTTGTCGGACTATCGGAGTTCAAAAGCCAACATTAAGACTTTGAAACCGAGTTGGTTGAGGAAGATGAAGAAAAAGAATTTTCGGGCCGGGGCGATGGGCTTTTATAGGGCCGAGTGGAGCTAGAGCTCCTAGTGGAAAAAAAAGAGTGTCCACTTGGAAAAAAGAGAAAGAAAAAGAATAGAAGAACGAAAGGAAAAAAAAACAATGGCGCAAATTGTAGCTAATTGTTTAAAAGAATAAAAAATAATGTTATTTTCCATAGCTAATCCCAGGTCATATCGTTTTCGTAGATTCTGATCAAAACCATGTACGCCCATAAATGAACCACCCAGTGGCTGTGAATCAATCGAAAAAAAGACACCAAATAGACACCAAATATGCTCATAAAGAGGTAGGGGAAGAGGAATAAAGAGCCAAAGGTCATGCCGAAGAATGATCTCCTCCAGCTATTTGAAGCTCTTCTGCTTTTGTCGCGAATTCCAATTCAAAGTTTTGGAGATGCTGTGCACCCAGCCCTCACCCTGCCCACCGGGAGGCAAGACATTGGCAAAGGGATATCTTGACGCTGACACTGTGACATAGTCACCGGGATGTAACTCAACCCTAAGGTTTGTCAGTCAGATAACAGACCCAAGCGTCAAATCAATGCCGAGGTGGTAACAATGGCTTATAGAACAAACGTAACAAACTCACCTCTCTCGTCCATCAAAGCTAGCCCATGAGCTTGTGCGCGCATCGTACGGCACACCCATGCGCAAGACAATGGTGTCCGGTAAAATAATTGGTCGGAAGGATAGCGTGTGGGCGCAGATGGCGGTAACAAGGATGACGGGATTTTCTGGGTGCGAAAGAGAGCCGCCAGCGGCGAGGTTGTAAGCAGTCGATCCGGTTGGGGTAGCGATGCAGA